CAATTGTGTTTTTCAAAGCAAAGAAAACAAGAGAAAAATTTTCGTTATTTGCTTCTTATTCTCTTTGATTGTGTCTCAATCTTTTTAAATTATTACGCAATGTAAACTATGAAAAATGCTTTATAAAAAATGACATTCACATTGAAAACAAAAACAAATTTGCAAATTTATTTTTCTTATATACCAATTAAGATGAAAATTAAAGCACCATCTTTGGAATTAAGTATATAGATATAAACAAAAATAGCTTTTTTTAAATTATTGTATTTACTTTAAAAATTTTTTGAGCGCATGTTTATACTAGTACGAACGTATGTTCGAAGAGTATAATAAATTTGCTTTATCGCTTAACGCTAAGAAGTAATGTTCCTGAGATATATATACATAAGCGTATGTTTTCAATCAGAGACGAATCTTGAGACGGTTAAACCCTGTCTATCTATGTCCGTTCATCCACCGATAACTCAAAAGCTACAATTAAGCTATTAAATTTTTACATATGATTTGTAATAGTAAATGTCAGAATCCTATTTAAATTGGATGTGATCGAGGCAGCAGTTCGGTCAACTGACCTACAACTTCAGAAGTTATTTGGTTATAACGTATTTTAAAAACTATTCAATCTACAGTACTGAAATTTTACATAAATTTATATGATAATAACGGCAACTATTATTTCCAAGCGAACGTATATTTGAAGCTAGGGTATTATGAATTCGCCAATAATTCAACAATTCGTACGCGTATCACATAGTTAACAAGATCAACTCTATTTTTTTCCGTTTTATTTATTTTTAAATTATTTTTCAATTACAAAACAAAAATTTTAATTATAATGCACGTAATACTTAAAATTAAATGTTTAAAAATAAAATTATAATATTTTATTTAGATTTTTAGTATAATGAAAATTAATGTAAATTCATTAAGTTTAATGCACTTGAATTGTACATATATATTAATATATAAAAATTAATAAAAAAAATGAGAGAAAAGAAATATTTTCTGCTTAATCAATTGCACAGAACAATTAAAAATTATTTAATATTATTGTTATATCATAGAATTTAAAAAAAATATATGTAAAGTTAATATACGCTTAATTATTAACAATAAATTCAAAAAGATGTAGGTTTTCCATCAACCTGAAAGATCATAAGTATTTTAATGAATGTCTCTAACTAATTTTCATAAACAAATTACGAGTATTAACAGATGAAGTGCGATTCGATAACAAACTTTTGTCCAACAGTAATTCATCACTCCACATGCTTTATTCAATTAATTCTAATATCTTTGGCATTTGACATTTACATTTGAAAAGTATTTTAGAATTTCTGATAATAAAGCAACAATCATACGGAAAAGATGTTAATCTAATTCATCTAAAATGGCCTCGAAAATTTTCTTAAAAATAATCTTTCCAAATCATAATCTATATACAATCCAAGTCGTATTCGAGGCACAATAAAGATAAACAAAGAGTATTTGGGAAAAAATCATTACCATATTAAAATTGTGTTAATTATGTCAAAATTATATTTAATGATCACAAGTCTTTTACTATTATAAAATCGAAGGTGTGTACGATAAGTAATTTTTCACCTGCAATAATAATAATATATATGCATATATATGGCTTGCTTTAAAGCATAACTAATCAAAAATTTTCTATAGTCTAAAAACAAAAAAGAGTCTTTTTTTCATTTAATTAAAAAAAAAATTATTATAATAATTTGATTATCATAGAATTATTTTTCATTACCATGTCGAAAAAAAATAACATTGATTTACATTTTAATTATACTAACATGTAAATTCCATATTAGTATATCTAATACATACATACATGTACATACATAATAATTAAAAATTAATTAAAATTCAATCATTTTAACTATAATAAAATTACACACACAATATTGTACACAAACTCACATTCTTCCTTTAATATCGTGAACTTCCTAATATTAAAAAAAATTTCTTTTGAATATTTTATTTTAAAAGCATTGATTTTCTTGATTTAATTATCATTATTAAAAAATTTTACTTTTAACCATTGAATTTTTACATGAAATATTTTATAATACTTTAAATAAATTTATAAAAAAAAATAAAAAGAAAAAAGAAAAACATGAATTATTTTCAGTTTTCCTTTTTTCAATAACAATTTACTGACCATCAATAACGATGATAATAACCGATTATAATTTGTACCTTAATAAACAACCCAAATTTGTAAGAGAGTAATTAATGTTAAAAAACAAAAATATTTTCACATTTCAGTCATAAAAATTTACTAATATAACAGTTATTTAAAATATTACTCGCGATTGTAATAATAATAATTGATTTGAAAGCGTTAAAGGTAAAAATAATAGTAAAATAGAAAAAAAAATCCAAAAAAAATTTGATTGATTGTTTTAGCACAAAAATTTTTTTTTTTTTGTATAACAAAAAATTTTCAATATAACGAACGCATATTACTTAATATTTTGACACTTAAAGGGTAAAACACATTAATATTTTTAAAATGCTTATATATAGATCACATCAATACAATGCGTATACATACATAATTTTCTCATATCAATATATTCATAAAAGACATAATGACATTGTGTAAATGCGTACAGGGTATTTCAGTGCCTACATTAATTGAGCTCTTAAAATATTTTAGAAACTCTCTTTTTTTAAATAAACGATGTAAATTAAATATTATTTATTTATTTATTTATTTATATAATATTATTTAATAAATTATAATAATATTATCAATACCCTCGGCTGCCAGGGCCATTATGGGTTTACAAATTAAATATTATTCTCCTATTATAACTTATTATGCCCTTCCATTGCATACTTTTCGGATAAGAATATAAATTACATGAAAAGAAGTGTGTTTGACTGGGTTTAATCGAGAAATTATCAAATTAGCCGACTAAATAGGTAAGTTGGGGATAAAAATTATATTTTTTGATAGAAACGTATTTACTGTTAGTTCGTTATATAAAAATTTGTTAATACAGTTTAGGAGAAATAATATACTGAAATTTAAAATTTTTCTAATGTTGAGAGGTGGGAACTCTGAACGGCCGAAGAGGTATAAAAAAAATTGTAATATTCTAATAAAATAAACCACTTATTAAGGTACACGAATTGGAAAAATTTTAGACTTCTAAAAATTTTTAAGAAAAACTTAAAAAAGAGAATCAACTCAATTTAAAAGTTAATTTCCCTTGTCATTTTATCGAAATATTTTTGGAATTTCCTTTCGCAATAGAAAATGGAAGACGTTTCCTATTCACGTTTAAGAAATTTATAAAATGAAGAAAGCAAAGAAAATTAAGAGTCATTGAATTCTTAAGATAAATGAAAACAAATTTTAAATTTCATATCAAGTCGGCATAAATATTTTATTATCGTTTTAACAATTCATCATCATTCTAGCACACCGCAGTCATCGAAAAATAACCCTTCCCATACAGATAAATTCTTTATGGTAGCACACACGCTGTACATTATTTACTTTCAATATGTGACCATAAATAGGAATATAAAAAGTAAAAAAAAATAAAAAAAAAAAGAGTCTCTTATTTTTATTAAAAGAAAAATCAAATGAATTTTTTCATGTACATTGTATGTGTATGAAAAGAAAATGAAAGTCAATTAAAAATATTTATTAATTGATCAAGTAATCGATTTTTATTGAAATCGAATACATATATGTACGTATACAAAACTGGATCATGAAACGTCGTATTAAAAAAATAAATAAATAAATTTATTAAAAAGTTGTTATGAATTTATAATAATTATAAAATTTGAAATGAAATTATATTAGATTTTTATGTAATCTGTAATTATTCTACCAAATAAGGAGTTGACGTCGAATGTTTATGTAGATATGTGTATTTGCCAAAATAATCATAAAAAAATTCTTTAAATATTGCATAAATTTAGAAAATAAATCAATTATTTTCGATATTATTGCAGTTATTATTAATGTGTATAACTCTTATGCAATGCAATCTTTACATAATTGCTTCTTATGATTTTCAAAGAAGTTTAGGTAAAACTGCAGTTACATTACCAAAATTAATGTAACTTGGTTTTGATACACGCTATTAAAAATCTGAAAACAATTCGAAACTACATTAATTTAGGGGTTCATTTATCAAATTGCTCTTTACGTACATTTAATAGCTTTAATTTCTAAATTTTGTTTTTTTAGAAAATTGAGAACATTTAAAACCTTAACATAAAATTTTGTAGAACAACCTATAGTTTTGCGAATAATAGCTAGAATATTATAACAGGAAATGTTTTTAATAATTAACATTAATTATATTTTGGCGTGTTCATTTTTAGCACTTATACAAATAACTATAACATCATATAACATCATTTTGCAAATTAAATTTATTTGTTAATTAAAAAAAATAATGCTAATAATTCGCAAATTTAATTTTTATAACTAATTTATTATAACTAATTCGAAATTTTATCACAATGATTTTGAATTCTTAGACCATATATAGTTTTATCAATAGGTTTTAATAAAATTTGTACACAATAACAAATTAGAAAACAAATTTTAATAAAAAAATTGTCAAAAACTATTAAAATGAAAATTTTATCCCCATATGTTTGTGCGCAAGTCTTTAAATTTCTATTATCTATGAAAATAATGAAGAGTAGAGAATATGTAAAGAACACGCTGGATATTACAGGATTTCAATTAAAAGTAGGAACGTTTTGCAGCAACTTATAATTTTTAATAGTTTTCAAATTGATCTTGGTTTTTACTACTTATTGTTCATCCTATATCATTATAGGATTAACAATATACATCTATATTATTATGCAGATGAACATCCCAGCTTCACTTAAAAAGCGTCGACAATATCTGATTAGAAAAAAAAATTTTTTTGAACCTCATAGATCAAATTTAAATTTATTCTAAATTACAAAAATAAATACATATATATAGCACTCACCATTAATATCACAAATATCCATATATGAGTATTCATTATTTTGGCAGCTCTATAAAAAAAAAAATCGATTCAAATAAATTACATTTAAAAAATATCCTTTTATAAGGTATCGTTTATATATACTTATATATTTAAAAACTATTAAGAATCACTCTCAAATTAGAAGAAAATCACAAAATTTAATTTAAAAAAAAAATTATTAATAAATTTGAGTGAATTAGCATAAAATATTGTTAAAACTTTCAATAGAATATATTACAGTCCTCCTTTGAAGGACTTGAATTTTAAATTTTAAAATATCATTTGTATAGAAAATTGGTATTGTATAAAGTAATTATTACTACGTTAAGACCCGCGTAAAAATGTTAAACAAAATTATTAGCGATTTTTTTAAAACTCTCTTTTAAAATTTTTCACCTAAAAAAATTTTTAAATTTTCTTTGTAAAATTGCAATATTTTTGCTTTTTTTTTTTTGGTTTTCTATTTTATAAACTATAATTGAAAAACGAAAAAAAAAATACGTCCGAAGGAAAAAAATACAATCACGTCTAACTCGTTAATCGTTTAAAATAAAACTAAAAGAGTTAACCAAAAAGCTGCCCAAAAAACTTAAATAAAAATCGCTGCAGAAAAATCAAAATACAATAATAAAATAAAATAAGAGAAAAAGAAAATCAGATGGAAAACAAAATAAAAATTTTCAACAAACGTGCAATTACACCGCGCTTAACTCTCATTCGAATATGCGCGTTTTTATTTGTTTTTGTTTTATATTTTTCCTGTTATTCATTGTTATTTTTACCTGAGCAGCTGACTCAAAATATCTTAAGAAAAAATGCTTTAATTTTATTTCTATTTGTTTTTTTTTTGCTTTATTATTATTTTTTTTTATAGAGCTGTTGAAAGCTTTTATAAAACGCACCGCCAAAATTTAGCGAGATTTTTCATTCCAGTTTTTAACATTTTTTTTTTTTTTTTGTTATTTCGCATAGTTATTAATTTTTTTAATTTTTGTTGTAAAGTTTGCACGTGTTTCTTTTACATACATACAAGATATGATGTTTATGCTTGTATTCAGAAACACTCATAACCACTTCTAATTTGTTATTATGAAAATTTCAAGTATAAAATAAAAAGCTTTTACAAGAGGACAGCATTTCTCATTTATTATTTATATAACATGAAAATTTTGAGAGAATTACTAAAAGAAAATGAGTAAAACTTATGTTTGTGCTTTGATACATTTTAGACGGTATCATTGTTAGCGTTGCATTGCAATATTCAAATACAAAGTGAGAGTACATTGCAAAAAGTTTTTGTATAACAAATAAATAATATATAACAGATTTAATTTTTGTGTTTGTATATTAAGAGAAGAAATGATTGCTTTAAGAGGCAGGAACAAATTAGTAATTTTAATTTATGTTTATACTATAGCATTACCATTCACTATTGATAATTAGGAAATTTTTCTTTTAAATAAACAAAAAATTTAAATATAACGAAAGATACATGCAATAAAAATGCGGAAAATATAGTTTACGTTAAAATTCAAGAATTATTTTGAAAAAATAAATTAATAGTTTTTAATTAGAGAAAAGTTATCATACCAACACGGATTATCCAAATCATAGTTGCAATGATGCGAACATAATGTCTTATAACCCAAAATGTGCATATTACAAAAAGTTTGACATTGATCGGAATTCATTTTACAATATTTTTACGACCCATTTCAGCTTTCAAATTGAGTTTCCAACCCTGGTTGGTTATTAGTCTAAAAATTTCTTCACACTTTTTGTATTTTGGATGTGTTTTATGCTCTCAATGTAAAAAACATATGGTTTAACAATTATTTGACAATCGTGTCGAACATAATCGAAATAACATACCTATAATACGGGCCGCTATGTATTCATTCGAAATTTTCCTATATATTTCCTCTTCTATTTCTCTTATTTCTTCCTCTATTTAAAAATTTTACGGCATTAATTTTACATTAACACCTTCCAAATATTTATAAAATAATTTCTTAATAGTAAAAAAAAAAATAATCAAAATGCAAAAAATGCACAAAATTGAAAACAAATTTTTCAGTCAGAAAACGAATTTTTTGTTATTCATTTTATTTTTCAAAGTTTTGCAAAAAAAAAAAAAAAACAAAAAAAAATTATAATTTGTGTCATAAAACTTTCTCATCTTTAATTTAAAAATCGATAAAATTCGATGAGAAGCATTTCACTTTACGTAACAAATTATTCGACATTCACTTGCATTTTATATTGACAACATTTAAAATTCTTAACATAATATTGAAATAACGGACATTATTAAAATTTCAATGAAACATAGAAAAATTAAATTTAAGTCAATTTTATTTTATACGTCCATAAATGTGTAAAAAATGCAAAAAAAACGAAATTCCAACAAATTGTAGTAATTTGTATACAGAAATAAAAAGAAATGGAAAGGACCACCAAAGCTTATATCACGATAACAAAAGAAAAAACACTGGCTGACTGGAATAACAATTGGATTAAATTAAATCGTGCGACCCAATTTTTTTTGACCAACATTCAAATTTAGTAATTTTTTTTTTTAATTTTTAAGTGTTTGTATGTGAAGAGTCTTTTATGGAGCTGTAATAATTGTAACTTTACAACTAAATATTCTATTATTGTGAAAAAATAAATTTACTAACACACATCCGCTTCTTATATAAATGAATATTAAATTAAACAACAAAAATTTAAAATATACAAAAATAATAAAATAAAAGGGTAAATTTTATATATTTTGAATATTCACTCATTTTATAAGCAATCAAATTTTATATAACATTATGATTCAATAATCAATAAAGAATATTAGATTTTACATCCCCAAGAAGAACCCACATTTAATTTCAACACAATATGCAAGTAAACCGGCTATCCTGACAGTAAATCCACAGTATTAACATTATTTTCTATTATGTGAATATTGAATAAAAACAGCTTTCTATTATATTTATTAATGTAATTGAAGATTAATATCAGTGTACACAGATGGACATACATATTATAATTTTTGATTAATTTCACAATGGCGAATGTAAAAGATTAAACCATATGTATCAAATTCATTCATCAAAAACCAAGTAATTATAACATAGTCTCCACACTAGCACGTCTTATCGTAGTAATGGGTAGGAATGGATATAACACTTCTTCTCGCATGGAATCGAAATAAATTACACCTTGAATATTTTAAGTTTAACCTACTACCCTTAATTTTAACCTACTTTTCAGTATCTATATCAAAAACATTTTCATACCTATAGACTTTTTTCTATAGCGCGCTTTGTCAAATCGCATTTTTGAGAAAATCATGTAGTTTTTTCTAATCTGCGATATCATTGCAAAAGTCACATTGTCTAACTAAGGTTTTATTTTTATTTTTTTGTTTTTAATTTTTTTCTTAAAGGTTATACTGAAATGAAAGTGATCATCTATTAGAAAATAATGGGAACTTTGATTAAATTAGATTAGATAGGATATAAGGTAACCCTCAAGGTAACCCTTATATCTAATTCCTCTCCACTTACATCAATCTAAAGTGCCTCTCTCTTGACAAGCTCTGGGAATCGATTTCCCGCAGCTAGTCTTTTCCTGCGGGAACGTAATTATGGAACAAACGATGATGGAAAGCGAAATTATAAATGTACACAACACAAATTCATACGTTACTGCATTCATGTGATAGACGTGAAAGGCAAAACGAGACGTTCCGATATTCTTGAAAAGGTATATAAAATAAAATCTAAATCTAAACTAGTTTAGTGCTTAGTTAAATTTTCAAATTTCTTATACAAGTACAAATACTCTATGTGTGTACTCGCAACTGCTCCTTACTATACCAATTGTACAAATATAAATAATGAACATATATATTATATATGTATAGACCAACTTATATAGAATAAACTTTATTCGCTTCTGAACATCTTTTAGCTGTTATGTCAAATGGCATTACAAATATTATTAATGAATTAAATGTTTTAATGCCAATCATTTTTTAATAATAATTTTTTAACAAATCTCTTTTATGTATAATTAAAAACTAAATTGGAATATTGTATGGATACCACACAATTAATTATATTATAATAAATATGTACATACGTTTGTATGTATGTATGTGTACAATAAAAATAATTAATATTTTTATAAAGTAAAAAAAAATGCGCAACTCAACATTCAATTTGAACACCAAATTAATAATGACTTCCTCCATGCACAATTGGCAGCCTTCAAGAAAAATTACATAAATTTCTGCACATATTATACAAAAGTGCTAATAATTCAATTTGATGTTTTGATATTCAATCTTAACCAGTGATAGTGAATGTAAATAAAATACATAATATATATGTATGTACATACATACCTACTATACACGTAAGTACAAATACTAATTTATTTATATTTTATATTATGGTTTTGTATTAAGAACTTGTCATCTGATCGCCTACTTGTTATAAGTTCTTTATAAAGAATTGAAAAATTAAAATAAAAAAAAAATAAAAAAGATAGGTATACCGTCGTCCCACTTCTATAGAATTTTAGAAAATAATAAAATATTGTAAGAAGATATCTAAAAATTATAATACATGTAAACCCATGCCCATACATAATGTAATTTTATTTAAAGTGCAAATAATATTTAAAACAATGGCGCAGTATTACAAATCGAAATTTTAAAAGAGATACAAGGTCAAATCAAAAAGAAACCCAATTTTTTTTGTTTAAAATTTGCTAGTACGGTGTGAAAATTTTGCACACTCTGGAAATGAAAATTATTGACACAAATTGACATCGTCTTGGAACATTATTTAACTCAAGATTTTAGATTAAGGTGGTCGAATTTGAAGGGTTCAATTTTTAATCACATCATCGCACGTTTCGGTTTTAGAATATCAATGTAAATTTTTAAATTAATTGTTCTCCGGAGGCATTTTTATTACTATATTTCTCAAATATTTACAAATTTAAAATTTTGTTCGAGTATTAGTCCCCCTATGCTGAAATGAGTAAAAAATCTTACAATATTATGAAATAATTTTCTGAAGATAAAAACTTTTAAAGATACCTTGTCATTTTCTTAAATTATTTTTATAAATTTTCTTTACGATTTAATCAAGGTCTCGTCCAAGTTAAGCATTTGATGTAAAGCAAATTAAATTTGAAAGAGAACATAATAAAACTAAAACAATAATCAATTTATGAACCACGTAATAATGTACTTTAACGAAATTCTATGATATTTAAGTATATTCTATGCTGGACAAGCTGCACAATTCAATCGAAATATTTCTTTCATTTTTTTGGCACAAAATTT